TGGGACTTTTTATTTTCTTGGATTTTTAAGGCATTAAGGCATTTCGGGGACTTTTTATTTTTTTGGATTTTTTCACGATGGTAAGGCATGTTTTGGGTGATTTTTGAAATATTCATAAAAAATACGTTTTGGAGTTTTAAACACAAAATAATCACTTGGCAGCATGTTTTAGGACCTAATCTTGCATTTTAAGGCATTTCGGGGACTTTTTATTTTTTATGGATTTTTTCACGATGGTAAGGCTATAGTAAGGCATGTTTTTGGTGATATTTTGAAATATTCAGATAAAATATTTTTTATAGTTTTAAACACAAAATAATCACTTGGCAGCATGTTTTAGGACCTAATCTTGCATTTTAAGGCATTTTAAGAAATATTCATGAAAAATACTTTTTGGACTTTAAAACACAAAATAATCACTTGGCAGCATGTTTTAGGACCTAATCTTGCATTTTAAGGCATTTCTGGGACTTTTTATTTTGTTGGATTTTTAAGGCATTAAGGCATTTCGGGGACTTTTTATTTTTTTGGATTTTTTCACGATGGTAAGGCATGTTTTGGGTGATTTTTGAAATATTCATAAAAAATACGTTTTGGAGTTTTAAACACAAAATAATCCCATGGGAGCATGTTTTAGGACCTAATCTTGCATTTTAGTGCATTTCGGGGACTTTTTTTTTTTTGGATTTTTTCACGTTGGTAAGGCTATAGTAAGGCATGTTTTGGGTGATTTTTGAAATATTCATATAAAATATTTTTTGGAGTTTTAAACACAAAATATTCACTTGGCAGCATGTTTTAGGATATAATATTGCATTTTAAGGCATTTCGGGGACTTTTTATTTTTTATGGATTTTTTCACGATGGTAAGGCTATAGTAAGGCATGTTTTTGGTGATATTTTGAAATATTCAGATAAAATATTTTTTATAGTTTTAAACACAAAATAATCACTTGGCAGCATGTTTTAGTACCTAATCTTGCATTTTAAGGCATTTCTGGGACTTTTTATTTTGTTGGATTTTTAAGGCATTAAGGCATTTCGGGGACTTTTTATTTTTTATGGATTTTTTCACGATGGTAAGGCTATAGTAAGGCATGTTTTGGGTGATTTTTGAAATATTCATATAAAATATTTTTTGGAGTTTTAAACACAAAATAATCCCATGGGAGCATGTTTTAGGACCTAATCTTGCATTTTAAGGCATTTTAAGAAATATTCATGAAAAATACTTTTTGGACTTTGAAACACAAAATAATCAATTGGCAGCATGTTTTAGTACCTAATCTTGCATTTTAAGGCATTTCTGGGACTTTTTATTTTGTTGGATTTTTAAGGCATTAAGGCATTTCGGGGACTTTTTATTTTTTTGGATTTTTTCGTGACAGTGGTGATATTTTGAAATATAATATATATAATATAATCATCCAAAACCATGAGTGAGGGGTCCAAAAAGTATTTTGTATGAATATTTCAAAAATCACTGAAAAGTCCCCAAAATGCACTAAAATGCAAGATTATGTCCTAAAACATGCTGCCAAGTGAATATTTTGTGTTTAAAAGTCCAAAAAGTATTTTATATGAATATTTCAAAAATCACCCAAATCACCACTATTCTATATAAATACAAGACAAGCTTGAATCTCCTTCACACACATACACACATGAGTTGTTCTGCACCTTTTTCAGTTGGAGTCCTCTTGACTGCTGCTGCTCTTCTGTTCAGAGATGAAATTGCAGAGCCAGACCATGTTGCTTTGTAGACTGGGCTCTACGATTTTCTGCAGGGGTCTCTGGGATGGGTCAACATTCTAACAGGCCTCCATGAGCTGCCGGCACTCCTCGTTGAAACTGGACAAACACTCTGGTCTGGCACCTGAAGCAAAAAGGATCAACTCAAATTTCAAATGAGGGGATTGAAACCCAAAGGTCTGGATGTCCACAGAGTTGTCATACTTCTCTGTTAGAAGAACACACTGTTTTATATTACTGAGAAAGAAAGATTGATGGTTAAAACTTATATATTGAAAAATCATGTTACAACCTATAAGCTGGAGGACAGGTTTAAAAAATAAAAAGGGTTAGTGTTAAAATTATTCTGACAGATGGTGATGCAAACATTGTTTAATCTTTGAAATCTAAATTTTTTTAAGACTATTATTAGAAAATATTAGTATATTATCTATGTATTTTAAAGCAGATTAGTGCATTTTTATTCATTTTTGAGGCTTTTTCAGGAAATTATTAGTATAACATATTACTGTTATGACGTACCAAAAAGAAAAAAAAATTAACTATAAACATTTTATTTTTATGAACCTCTTGATCCCAGAATGGAGAAATTCAGGGCAACATCAGGGCAATGGTGTTGTGGTTGGAACTGTAAGCAACTACAGGGAGCTAGGAACTGGACTAAACCAGTGGTTCTCCACTAACACCAAGTAATGTCATATTTTGTAAAGAATCACAATCAATAACATCTAATAACACAAAGTTCAAAAAGAGAAAATAAAGGTAAACTTGTGACATCATCACTTGAAACTTGTGAATTACTCCCGTATGATGGGTCCCACCTGTCATGTTTCTGTTGCCCACTGGTGGGGACCGCCCCACTCTTTGAGAAGCACTGGACTGAACTAACCTTTCATGATGATGAACATCATGGCAATGGGAAAGGTGAGTCTTTGTCATCTGTCTGTCTGCTGCTGCAAATCTGTCTGATTACTTTTTTGTTTTTGGTTGCTCTAAATTTAGTTTTAAAAATTGGAATAAGGTTCATACTCAAAAAACTATTATCTTCTAATTGATTATCTATGGGGAACTTTCTGGGTAATTTAATCTGTAGGCCTTTAGTATGTGGCTGGATTTTAGGTACTAGTATCTTGTAGGTTGTAGGTGTTGCTGGGTTTTTTCCACTCATGAAATCTTTATATCAGAGAGCATGTGTGAACTTGGGTGGGCACAACTTCAAAACATTTATGCAGACTACGACCCTGCAAGCAGCAGCAGCAGCAGCAATGATCTCATTTGTCAGAGAAGAAGGTTGCAGGTGGGGCGTGGTTTGATATCTAACTGAATTATCTCTCAGCAAACTCGGAACACCACCACAACCACTCGTTTAATACCTTTTGTCTTTTTTGTGATGTTAAAAATGGACCAAAATCAGATGCAGATCCAGGTCATTCTGCTGATTCTGTTCTTTTATCAGAGTAAGTCCATGTGTTCTCTGTCTTTCAGCAGCTGTAATGTTTTCTTTTCTCCTATTGTTTTCTTATTCAGAGTTTGGAAAATAGTCCTTGTCATTGATATTAACATTATTAGCACATATGATTGTTAAAAAAAAACTATCTTGTAAACTGTCAAATGAATACTAATATCATTTTCAGGTAGAAGCCCTCTGTATACTGTGTTATAGGAGCATATGTTTTTTCAGCCACCAAACTGTTCAATTTCATTTTTGACAATTTAATTAATGTTTTTGATGATCAAATACCTACACTTTTAAAACCCAGATCAGTGACTTCATAGTGTTTTGTTACAGTTAAAGCGAAGTGAAAGTGAAGTGAAAGTACTATAAATGTTCATACAATTTATTATAAACATTTACATTTTCTATACCGCTGGCAGGTTTTTCCAAATTTTAGTCTCCAAAACCTCACAACAGAATGTTTAGCCTACACAAACAATCTTTCTGGGGTTTTTTTGTTTTTTTTAATGATTTGCTATAGTAAAACATATGGTTAAGAAAATGTGTTATTCGAGCCATCATACCAACTGCTTGGAGGAAATATGTACTTTCTTTTTACGTTATCATTTAACTGTCACAAATTCAGGGTGCTGTGTTTTTAGCCAGATTAAAAAAAAACAACAACAAAAACTGGACACTTGACCTAAAATTCTTACTTTAATATATATATATATATATATATGTATATATATATATATATATTAGTAGGCTGCCCCAGTTTTTCTATTTTAATTGTAAAGAGCAAGTTCTGCAGTTCTATTTCAGTAAAGAAATAGTGGAGTAATGTTCCTGAAATTTAAATAATCAATTTTTTTAAATGCCTATAATTTAGAATTTAGGCCTGTGATTGGAATGACATTAACAAAAAACCTAAACTTACATTTTGCCTTAGTAAGATTTAAACTGTTTCTGTCTAATTGGAGAACAAGTTATTGTTGTTTTAAAACATTTTAAAATATTTTTTAAAGTAACTTCTTGCTTCCCCCTGGTTAGCTTGGCGTCTTTTATTTTCTTTTTTGATAAAGTCATATGCCTTCTCACAGGAAAAGCATTTGGCTCAAAGTTAAACGACTACTTTACTGCAGTTTGAACATTAAGTCTTTTTCTTCGCTTTTGCTCAGGACGTCAACCGTTTGTTTTCCGTTGTTTTATTTGTGTTCCTTTATTTCTGTTTCAGTGCCGGGTTTTTTTTGTTTTTTGTTTTTTGTAGTGGATTCAAATTTATATCACTGCCTTTGTTTCGTTAAATCTGTTCCAGACATACCTGCAGTGGTCAGCAACAAAGAGGTGAGAGAGGGAGATAGAGTTGAAATCCAATGTGAACCTTCTGAGGTGGGAACCATGGTCATCTGGTTCCGAGTTTTGGATAATTCTGGCATGGAGTACATTGGGTCTTTTTCCAAAGATGGCGTTAGGAAGGCCACGCCGACAGCCCTGTCTACTAGTTTCGGTGTGACAAACATGAACAAAAATGTCCTCACACTGAATTCGTTCAAAGCTAAAGAAGACGCCGGTGTTTACGGCTGTGCGGGCCTTAAGAGCAACGAGCTGAAGTTTGGCCGAGTGACCAGACTGAGTGGAGGTGGGATCATTGTTCTGGTGATTCGCTTAAACTCCACGAAGGGTTTTAATGTCACTGATGTCTCTTTGGTTCCTGTTTTAGTGAAGAAAAAGGTTGAAGAAGTAACGTCTGTAATGGTGGCCAGAACAGCTCCACCGAATCTACCAGCCACAACCACCGCCTGTGTTTGTGAGAGCCCCAGAGGTAACAGGCAGAACTGCAGCTTACGTTCCAATTTTCCGAGACTGGTCTGAATCAGTTGATTGGTTTGGTTCCTGTAATTGTCTCAGTTCTACTTTGATGACACTAGGAATGATCGTTAGATTTATCTATAAATAACACAATCAGTTATCTGTCACAGATCATATTTTTCCTCTGACATTTTTTGTTTCTGACTTCCTTTTAACAGTTTTTTGTGGCGACATAAGGGAAGAAACGCGTGTTTGTCAACGGGGGCTGTTTTTTCATCGCTCTTGTGCCCTCTTTTTCTTTACATTTTTTAAAAGATCATTTCTGGGGCAATTAATTCATATGAATGAATTAAATAATTATGATTCATCATTCATACACTCATCCTCATAATCCTGCTCAGGGTTATGTCGGCCGTAAAGCCAGACGCTCTGGACAGGTTTTGCGCCACTTTTTGCTTTTTTTTTTTTTTTTAATGTTTGAGGTTAACTTTGATATAGTTTTCAGTAATAAATCATTAAAAGAAATTAAACTATTTAAAACATTTTGGCTTCAATTTACAAGGTTACTTGTCTTAGTTTAAATTATGGATGCTTTAGCTGTATTTTCGTTAAAACATCGTGACTAATGGACTACTTTTTAGCTGACATTGTAGTTGTTTCTGTCACTTTTTGGTGTTACAAATTTTTATGCAGCACAAATTTTAGTTATCGTCGGGTTTTGTTATGGTTGTGATACAATTGTACTCTAATTATATTTATTGAACATATGCCACTAGGATCTGCGGTGACTAACGCACTCTTTTTGCTGCAGTTTTTGACCTCTCTCTGATGACATTGGATATTTTTGGCCAACTTAATACGTTTTTGGATTATACAATTATAGCATTTTTTATGCGGAACTGTTATTATATAAAGGTGTTTAAACTGTTCGTTGAAATCTAAGCTTTTTTTTTTTGAATGCTTTAACTTAGTTTTTTAACAACAGATTTTGATCAATTAAAACATTTTTTATCAAAGGTTTTGTTTTTCAGACATTACAGTATCTCCAATTTGAATTTTTGAGTTTTAATCTTCCCTATAAATGTGATACAAAGTTGAGGTTGCATTTTTTAAAAATCTTTGCTTTTGAAGTGCCTATTAATGCAGTAGTGGACAATGCAGTGTTATAAACACTTCAATTTCAACTTCAAATGTTCTAACGAGACCCTCCTCTGTAGAGGAGACCTCTCTGTTCCTGGAGTGCCCTCCAATAATTCTGGGTTCACTGGCTGGAACCTGTGGTCTCTTCATACTCCTCCTCATCATCACCATCCTCTACTGCAACCGTAAGTGCACTGTTCCATAACGAAAACATTTCATAAAAAAACTAAATAATAAATATATATATTTCCTTAGTGTGTTTTCACTTATTAATTTCTACTTTTACATTTAAAAATAAATAAATTTGATCTCGTACAATTTCTTACCTTGCAGATATGAGGACACGCAGATGCCCGCACCACCACAAGAAAAGGTCGATCTTTTGCTAAACTTGCCTCATTTTTTTTCTTCTCTTTTCCTACACTGTGAGTGATAAAACAGAAAAGTATGCATCCTGTACAGTGAGAAAAATATAAAAGTATTTTTAGGTAAGTATTCAGGTATTTTTCCACTTTATTTAAATAATAAATATTTGACTAAAGAAAGTGAAAATTCTTAGTAAAAACAAAGGTGTTTAGAAGGTTCTAGCTCTGCAGAAATGCAATTGGGAAAAACACTGTTTAACGTTGTTGAATATTTTTGGCCTTCAAAAAAATGCATTAAGTTTAATTTTTTTAAACCTTTTCTTTCTTTCTTTCTTTTTGCCTTTTGCAGACCACGGCAGATGCTTCCTGAAAAACAGATGATGACCAACCCACGCCATTAACACGAGGGTCAGACTCACTCACCTGGAATCACTTTACAGTGTTGGCTTCATTGATGTCATTTTACATTTGTCTAATCCCTTCCACAGAAGTTTTTTTTATTCTTGTAATTAGTAATTCTTATTACTGTAAATACTTAACTTTTTTTGTTCAAGTTTTCAGGTTTAACTTAATTTCTGTTGGCCAGTGTTTTGATATCATCATTTTCTTTTATTCAAATAAGGAAACTTTATGCTTTGAGTTAATAGAATATCATCTAATACCATGGTACAGTCTTGTGAAATATTAAAGTAATTTCACTGAATAATCAATAAATAATTTAGTTTTCAGACATTTATGACTTTCTTTTCTTTTGTAATTCTTTGAATTATTTTCTGCATAATTAAAACATCGTCCTCATATCTTGTATTTTAATAAATTCCTTGTGATTCTATGAATTTTGCTGTCATAATTCTAAGACTCCCTTCTTACATTGGTTTAAAACTATTTATATTGTAGTTCTAAATGATGTACTCTGTCGTAAACATGTTATTTTTAATTAGAAAATTATCACATGACCATATTTTATTTGTTTTTGAATGTAATGTTAGAACACTATACTTTAGGCTTACATACTTCAAAAGAATTACGATAGTATACGTGAACTACACCCACGAGTTGGTTTAAAAAGTTGGTCAAACAGACAAAATGACTCTTTTCTCAAAAGGATGTTTCTCTGCAGTGAGGAAGACACTTATATAAAAAAGAAGCGCTCAGACACACAGTAAAGCAGATTTGCCTTTGGAAAAACTCTCCACATATTTAATTATGTAAACGATGAGCAGTCCAAAAAACAAACAAGCTGAATACTAGTGTCTTAACATTTGACCACATAGTGATTCAAAATGAAGAAAAAAAAGAAAAAAGAAAAGATTTCTGCGTGTCTACATGAAAATTGCACAAACATCCCAATACTTACACCCAAACATACGTCCATGTGACCCCTCAGCAGCAGGACACAAACTCTCTGTCCCACATTAGTGTGAAGGTGGAAAAACTGTCAGACTCAACATCAAACACCTTCCTTTCTTCCTGTAGCATGCTTTGAAGTTTAGATGCATCAAAGTTCTCTCTCTCTCTCTCTTTCCCCTTCAGCGTATACCTCCACTCTACAGTTAGCAGCCTCTCCCTCTCTGTTTGTAAGAATCATCTCCACTATCTTTTGTCAACGTCTGTACAGATCAGCCACTGATCTTTGAAACAACTCAGTGTGAAACCATCTCTAATCCTGCAACAGTATTTAAGAAAACAACAGTTTGAGATCAATTAGTGGAAACTTTAGCTACGAATTTGTCAAGTTGACCTTCTAACCTTGAAAGTAACACAATGGTCAAATATTTTGTTTTATAATCTTACAGAAGTACTGATTGTGTGGCACGTATTAGTCCAACACCTTTAAAAGAACCTTAAACACATGACTCCGGCTTGGAGTTAAAAGTTGTTTCAAAAACCTTTAAAGGACACTTCCTTCAAGCCTTCAGTAACTGCGGGGCTGCTGTTTTACTTTCATTAATAAATTCTTTAAAATACATGATAATAATGTTTTTTTAATTTTGTTTTTCAAATTCAATCTTTGTTAAGCATCTACTTTTTTTTAAAATTTGCTAACCACAGATTTTTGTTCATGGGATTCTTGATGAACGACACCACGAACATTTTAATATTAAATCAGGCAGTGGCTGTGGATCAGCAGGCAGTGCAGCTGTCATACAACTGGAGGGTTGTGGGATAAATTCCAGGCTTGGTAGTTTACAGGTTGCCCCAGAGACGAGCCAACCTGTAGTGTAAAGTGCTTTGAGTGGACATCAGGACTAGAATATCCCTGCGTAGGTACAGACAGTTTGCCATTTCACTCTCTCTCTCCATACCTGTAGTTTTCTTCTTTGTCTCATCACTGTTCTAATATCAATACAATTTCAAAACATTCAAATCATAAACCAAAAACTCCGTATCCTTGAATATATGAGAAAGAAAGGTGTCTGTGAATTGACGTGTGCGAGAATCAACACAGCTATAAACAAACGTTTTGGGGCCACTTGTCCCAGTGGAGACCAAAACCTGGTCCTACTGAAACCTTCAGAGTTATTAGTTAGTGTAAAGACTGTATTTATGAAAGAAATTTGAAGTTAGACTTAGGGATTAGGGTTTGGTTTTAGTTACAAATACGATTGTGGTCAGGAAGTCAAAATAAAAAATGGCCAGTGAAAAAGTCCTGACACGGACGAGGCGTGTGTTTGTATCTGTGTGTAATGTAAGCAGGTGGAGTGCTGGGGCAGGTTTAAGTCCAGTACACGTTCTCAGCTATTTAGAAAAACCGAATCATTATCCAGAGTGCAGCTCTCTCGCTGGTGCTCTCCTGTGGCCTCAAGTACAAACTGCAGTGACAACCTAAAATCACATAAGATCACAGATCAGTCCTCAGGTTTGGTCTGTTATTTATTTCTTTCATTTCTTTAAACCAATTTACCACTGAGAATAAGAATTTCCCTACTTGAAAATGACATGACTTTTTATGAATACATTTTTTAGTCTCTTATTAGCCCTAATGTAACAATTATGTTGCTATTTATTTGAAAAAATTACATATAATACATAAAGTTATGTTATAATTACATTTGATTTTAAGATAATCAACAGTGAAATTTTTTCACATTATGTCTGTTTGGTATTTTAGCTATTCTATTTTATTTGCTTATTATATTAGCCCATATACTCTTGTTTTTTTTAACAGTTTTTTGATAAATATTGAATATTTCCAAAATAAAATCTAATTATCAGCTAAAATCAAATTTCACTTTGTAAAGATAAAGTAAATAATAAACAATCTATTCTGTTGACTAGTAAATTGTTTGTAGTAAATTATTAGAAACCAATAACTGAATCTAACATGTATTCCAACAGTCATTTCATATTATGAATAAAGGTTTGACAGCAGCTCACACCAGTAGAACTGACCTCACTTCAGTGGTCTAGCTTGTTGCAGACTTTGGCACAATGTCTGAGACTAGCTGAGATGATAGCTCATCAGTGGCAGACGGCGGCTCCTCTCTCTGCTGCTTCTGAAACAGAAGGTTGAACTTTTAAGAAGATCCTCGAGGGCAAAACAAAGAGCAGAAGCGCCAGCTCTTAACGTAATCACTGCACAGATTTGATGAGATTATGAGCAAAATGAAGCAGAGAGGAGAGTGCTTGACATGCAACTGTGTGCTATAAGCACGATCAGACGGCCGTCATTGATTCTGATTTCAGATTTGAGCTTCAGCTCAGTTAAACACACTCATTCCTCAGCCGGCTTCAGGTCTACATGCAGCAGACGTTTGCTTACTTTAGACTTTGACTTTGACTTTCTGGTGCCCTGTAACAACATAGACAACTTGTTTAAATGTCTCTGACCAGCGCTCAACACTGACCAGACAACACATTTCAGTTTCCCAGTTCAGCCTCAGGCCTGTTTTGGACTGAAAAGGTTAGGGTTAGGTTTAGAGCCCTAATTCTGGTATCCCAGTATGAAAACGCTGCTCTCCACTTCTAAAGCTTAAACCATCACTGGTTCGTCACGTCGTCTTACCCAGAATGTGAGCCGTATGTTTGAGTCACATTTGTTCATCTGGGGTCATGGAAAGGCTCAGCATAGAGCATGGTTTGAACATAACACACATGGTCCTCTGGACAATACAGGTTACACTGACTACACAGTATTTTCCTCTCTGCTCTGATTAAGGCCCAAACCCCACAGGTCAACAGAGATGACAACAAAGTTAGACTTAATATTAGGATTAACTAGAGTTTACTGTACACCTAAGTCGCAGGCAGTCGTTACCTTTGGTTTCTCTGCTTTTGGCTTTGACTCTAGGGCTGCTGGGAGAAGTGTTTCAGCCAGGGAGTCCAGAACTGGAGCAGCCATTGGCTAGAAAGATGAGTCCATCAGTTAGAAACAACTACTCCATTGTTCACTGTTGAATAGAATTTAAACTTTTTTTATACCTTCAGTGGCTCTGAGTCCAGTACAGGAGGCTCCAGCTTTACAGTGTCTGCAGCTGCAGTGACTGGTGCAGCTGAGGGCGGAAGAGCAGCAGAAAAATCACTGGACAGCAAGTCCAGGGCTTTGTTGTCATCCATGGTATTCTGTGAAATGAAAGAAAATGCACTGTCTCTGCAGCAGTTCATAGCATGTTGTCCCCTTGATTGTCTCACCTCACTCACCGTTGGTGTTTTGGGCTCTTTTGTCTTATCTTCCTCCAATTTCTGTAAAAGAAAATAAATATTTAAATGTCCTTAATGTGGCCAACAACAGTTTTTACTGGATTTTCTATTTTTCTATTTTGGTAAAACTGCATTCTCCCCTAAAATCAGAGCATTCAGACAGACAGTGACCTATGGTAATATTCAGCAGTAACGGTAAAAATCATTGTTGCCAGATCCTAGAAATCAGCTGTTTATTGTCCAAAAAATAAAATCCATCCACTTTACGAAATTTTCAGAGTGTTATTCTACCTTCAGGTCTTCTTCAGTGGGCCGGTACTCTGGAGGAAGTGTGTCATCTCTCTCGCCCATCTTTATCAACTTCTCCTCCATGATATCCTTCTCCTGTAGAATGTCAAAATGGAAGACATTATAGTTTTCTGTGAAAAAACATGAGACTACGACAAAACTTCTCTGCTCTTGGATCTTTCTGTCCACCTTGACGACATCTTTAGGAGGGACTGCTGGTGGCTGATGAGGAGCAGGTGTGATGTCCATCAACGTGTCAGACAAAGCGTCCAGAGCGCTGTCAGCTCCTGCTGCCAGCTGAACAGACAAACAAGCAAACATGAAGATGGATTTTTAAAGTGAGCTGTAACAACATTACACTTGAAGAGTGAAGTCCACAGCTGTGGTCACACAGGAAAAACAGTTTTTGTAACATCTATGTCAATAACGATCAAACAAAACACAAAATAGACAAGGTCCTTTTACACTCACTGACCTGTTGATCTGTTTCACTGGGAGCACAGACAGCAGACTTCACAGTCGGAGCTGCAGTAGAAGCTACAAAGTCTCCTGCTAAGACATCCAGAGCAGAATCTGCAGGAGTCTGAGGAACAGACAAATCAGCCGTACAGTGAGAAAACTTTGCAGCCATCAAGTATCATAATAGGGTTTTAACACTACAGCTGCACAGATTTACCTCTGCTGGAAGACGTACAGGGGTGACCAGAGGAGCTTTCACCTTTTCAGCTGCGGTGCAGGCCTGCAGTTAAAAGAGGGAAAAAAAGTAAACCATCAGGGTTCTTTTGAATTAAATCACAGCAGTAACTATTTGTTACTCTAACAGCAGCTCCACAGCCTGCTGTACCTGTGTAGAAGCTGAGGCTTTGTCCACAGGAGCCTGGACAGTAGGAGCTGCAGAGGGGCTCACAAAGTCTCCAGACAGAATGTCCAGAGCTTCGACTGTGTCCATCTTGGGCTGCAGGAGAAGTGAAGAATCAGTCATTATTTCAGAACTCCTGCAGAAGTCCTCTTCAAGTTTCAGTCCCAGTCTCACCTCTGGTTTAGGAGCAGGCAGCTTCTCCAGTTTCTCCTTATCAAACCTGTATTCTGGAGGAAGTGTGTCCTCCCTCTCTCCTACACGAACCCCCTCCTCTTCTTTCAGTTTGTTTTCCTTGGACAAGAGGAGAAAACATGAAATTAGAGATAAATTCAGAAATAAAATCAATGAATGATACAACAGGATTTCTGTTCCTCTGAAGTTTTGTTACGTACAGACACAATGTCCTCAGGTCTGAGTTTGGGGAGTTCAGGTTTTGGCAAATCTGTGGGCAAAGTATCCCCAAGAGCACTGAGAGCATCCAGAGACATGTCAGCCTGAAGACAGGAGGAAACATTGATCTTCAAATATTTGTGTTTCAGACAAAGTGAATAAGGACTGTAACAAGGACAAAGAAAAGAAAACACTGACCCCATCTACCTTTGGTTTGGAATCTGTGATGTCTTTCTTATCAGCAGGGGGGGCTGAAAATTCAACTTTCTGCAGCAGACAGCAGAGAGAATTACACACAAGGGGTTTTTCTAATGTAAACCGCAAAAGGTTGGGAAACACTGAACAAGTTTATACACAAAACTGGGTCTTCAATTCCTAAATATATTACAGTTTCAACTTCTTTTTTAGAAAGTGTACAAACGTTTCCATCAAAGACAAAGCTTTCCATTAATCAGAGTTTGACTTTGAGCTTGTTGGTCCGTACCTGAGCAGTGGATGATAGAACATCCTCCAGAGAAAAGTCATCAGATGTCTTTAGAACTGGTTCCTCAACAGGACAAGTGGGAAGAGGAGTCGGAGCAGGAAAATAACAGATGGGATGAGGAGGGCACACAGCGATGGGAGGAGCAGGGCATACAGCGATGGGAGGAACCTTTTCCTGCACACAGACATCACAAGGCAGATTTTGAATGACAACATTTTGTCTGGTACAAGATAAAGTATGGTCACAAATTTGGTTCAGGAAGAGCTGGGGGCTGTACCACAGGAGCCTGGACAGTAGGAGCTGCAGAGGAGCTCACAAAGTCTCCAGATAAAATATCCAGAGCATCACCCGTGTTCATAGGAGGCTGTCGAAGAATACAGTACATTCACTTTAGATTAAGTTTTAACATTACTGCTCAAAGAGGATCAGTGAGATTAGGTATGTCATCTGGACCAATAACCTTTCCACACTTCATTCTCCTCAAATCTGCCCTCACCTTCTACTTACTAACTCCCTGTACTTTCTGATTAATCTATTGTACTACTCTTTCCATCTTCTCAGCACACTCTCTCCACTAACTAGTACATTTCCCTCACTATCCTTAACCAACCTGACCTGCTGAAATGTTCTTTTCAGCTCTTTTCTCTGTTTAGCTAACCAGTACAAAACCTTTTTAACCGTCCAACCTTTCATACAACTCATCATGGTCCCTCGTCTCAGCCTCTCACCTAGCCTGACAGTTTTCCTGACTGTCCCTCTTCTTATGTATGATGTCCTGTACATCTGCATTCCACCAACAACTATCCTTCTTGGTTAGTTAAGTTAGACAAGAATAAAATGTTTTGATCAGTTACAGTTGGCCCCAGTCTCACCTCTGGTTTAGGAGCAGGCAGCTTCTCCAGTTTCTCCTTATCAAACCTGTATTCTGGAGGAAGTGTGTCCTCCCTCTCTCCTACACGAACCCCCTCCTCTTCTTTCAGTTT